TACCACTTTTGATGACTTGAAATGTATAAAAACCCATTTTGTGCAATAAGTTTTTTCTCTTTGGTAATGAATAAACCACAGAAACCCCTATAATGTATAATAGTCCTTTTTTTAGATACAAGTTGCATAAATTAAAGAACCGCAAAAACAACTTTGGTTTTTATACAAACACTATGAAAAACAAAATAATTTTTTGCTGGCGATAATGATAGTGGTATTTTGACTCGATTTAAAATATATGCATGTTACTACAGAACTCTCTATGGGCCTGCGAGTCCGACTCGCACTGAACCACTTTTTTTCAACTTTTTGTTTTATTTTAATAAATAGTTTTTTCGTTTAAGCGGAGCTCTTTTACTTTGGATTTATTACCTCTTTATCTATAATAATCAACCTGAGTAAGTAAAGTGTGTAAATACGATTCTTAAATTGTAAAAATAATAATTGGATTTGAACATCTTAGGTAGGTATTTAGTTTTATTTATTTAGAAAATATTAATCTCACAATTAATTATTGTAATAATATAAATTAATCACACAGCTAACGCCCTCATTAGCAATGTAATGGTGAAAGAATTTTCAAAATCGGCCTCGTAATTTTTGAGATTAGCCAAAAAACGTATTCATGGAAAGTAGCGCCCTCTATAATAAAATTAACCCTATATTAAATATCTAAAATTATACATAACAATCTAGTGGTGAAAGAATTCTCAAAGTTGGTCAAGTACTTTACGAGTTTAGCGAAAAAAAATATTCTTTGATAGTAGCGCCCTCAATAATAAAATGCATCCTACTTTTTTAAGCACCATAGCAAAAAACAATTCAACATAGCCTAACCCGCACAGTAAAAACATAACCATCCTTTTTCGTCTGTAGTCGGATAAACAACTGGTTAATGACGGTTGCGTATCGGCTGCTTTGGATAAATATCCATTGTCAACGGTTATTTTAAACCTATATCATAACATCGTAATAATTATCAAATTTTTTTTTATATGTAAGCATTGTATTAATGACACCATAAGTAATCGATCGAAAAGGGATTGGGAATTGGGATTTTAATGAGATTTGTGATTGGCAACACTTTTTATTTTATTCACAAACTAATGAATTACTGTTGTACCTAATTTTATTCTTATCTTTTCTGTACTTTTAATTTGTGCAAAAATATTCCCATTGTTTTAGGATAAATGAATACCGCGATTAATAACCATAAATAAAGATATATTTTTTTAACAAATGCACATTGTTGGGCGTTCCATGGCCGAAAATGGGCAATGCCCTTTATAGGTTATATTAAAAGCATCAACTTTCAAATAAAAATGGTTAAAAATGATATAGAAAAGTTTTTTTGCTTCAAGACCTTCTATACCATAATTTGAAGGATTATTCTGATGACAAAGAAACGTGAAATATTATATATATTATTGTAAAATGCTCTCAGTAACATTAACAAGTGTGCTCTGTAAAATTTGTGTTAATTAGTATATGTATAAGTAATTTATAACGTTTATTGTCTATATACACGATGTAAAAAGTAAACGATTTCATTTTTGCCGGCGGGGATCGAACCCATGTTGCTCGCGTACTGTACTCTCACAGAATAGCAGCTTAGTGCTGCTGTGTTTTCTATGATGAGTGTTACGCACCGGTGACCCTTATTACTAAAAATGAGGCATTCCATCTAAGCCCTCAAGGGTTTCAACATATCTATGCACTGGTAGTGTCATTGAGCCATAGCATCTACTAACATGACGTGGACTATTTGTTAGTTTGTCACCATTATTCTAAAAAGACATTCCTGAAATAAGGTAATATTTTAGTGTATGCTAGAAATTTCTTTCGCCGTTTCTCCTCCGGACAATGGAACCTCGTGTTAGTTATAGATAAAAATGTGTTGACGTTTGACAAACGAAATTTTAATTTCTTGCATTGAGTTACGGATGGGAGTGCAGAGGGTTGCCCGATATTAAAGATTTTTGTGTGTGTCGATTGGATGGCTATGATTCACAATAGGGCATCCATTCGGTAGGTGGCACTTTTAACGAGATCCTATAACCGCTACTTCTAAGCCCATACTACTAAACCCAATACCATTATTTTTATTGTGCCTGCAAGTATTTGTAGACTTTTTGGCTAATTGTTGGTTTCAGCACCTTTGGGCTAAAGTAGCCGCTTACTACTATAAGCTAGAAAATAAATATAGCCCGTCAATGCACATTAAGGTCACTCCTTCTTTACTCCAAGACCCTGTCAGAAAGTAAAACAGACCTGCGACCAACTGCGGGGCTTATGTAATCTTACTATTTTTAATGTTACTTTAAGTAATATAAATATAAACGTAATTGTTAAATTGAAAGAAATATAGATGAGATAAAAACCAACGAGGATAAATTACCTTAAAAATAATGCAAACGCAGAAATCACTTCCCATGAATAATCTTCTAAAAAACAATACTCAATAGTTAGTAGTAGTAATAATAAAAGCAGTACAACATAAAGCTTGAAACGTCAACACTGGCCTTTAACTAAGGGAAATCAAGAATATCTAGTTAGCGATTTGTTAACACACCCTTTGACTTTTTGCGTAAATTTTGTACTTATACTATTTTTGTATCGCATTCGTTTGTCTAAACTACGATTTCAAGCAGGAGTGCTTTTTTGGGTTAGTTCAAATTAAAGTAGTTAAAGATAAAGTTACAAGCCTGTTAAGCCCCAGTGCTGGGCACATCTTTTCTCGCGTTTCAGTGTTTAAGTGCCTTTTTTCACAGACATGCAGGTTTACCTCACGATGTTCCCTTCATCGTCAAGGGGTAAACTTGTACCTAAAATTGCAATTAACGTTTTCATTTTATCGACCCAGAGTCCCTGAGTTACCACAAAAATAATTCACAATTGCTTTTAATAAGCCTATTACTACAATTGCCTTAATAAAAGCCAATATTGTATTTTATTTTAAAAAAGTTACCTTCCAGCAGTTTTTGTGTATTGTGGAGGCAGATAACAAACATAAATTACACAAGTACAAACATCCAGACCCGCAACAGTTATTTGGAGGCTATATAAATACATGTCCCGGGCCGGATTCGTACCCGCGGCCCTCAGCGCTGCAATTCAATTTGAAGTCAATGTATCATGAAGCCGGCGAACAATTTTTTTCATAAAAGAACGCATTATTCATTTCATTGGGCGTCTCTATACAACATATTCTAAGCATATAACTGCGGTCCAGCGGGACGCAAATTCAATGGTTACCCCATATTTGCCTCCGTTTCTTTTGAAAAAAAAAAAAGAAGCTAGTCACATCTATTGTCTTAAAGAAGACAACACTGTTTTTTTCAGCATAGATCCCTATAATTTACGGTAGTAACAAAACAAACATCAGACGTAACATATTTGAATCGCTCTTCCCCATTTTCGTTCGAGCGAAGCTAGCATACATTATTATCCTTTGTCAGTCGTGATGAGATTTTCTATTTCCTCTTAGGCGTCTTTTACGAAGTGCGTCAAACTAATGCCTATTTCACGAAAAAGGTGTACGCAATACAGTTAATTAAATTTATGTTCACATTAACCTTTACATATAAAGTAATAAAACAGCCGTAGGGAAAATATACTGAAGGAAAAAGTCTAAATTTTTCTGCACAAAACTTCATTCTTCGCACCAAAAAATTATTGTATTAATTTTTTAATATTATTTGTACCACGTTGACGTTTTATATACATAAATTGTACAGGATAAATATTTAGATAATGGATACTAAACCAAATATGTCGTGAGAATATAACCGCAGCTAGATGTTTAGACACCGAGCTACGGAACCACCCATTGAAATAATGCCTTGAATGGAGAAAAGCGTCAGCAGTGGAAATGGCATTACTTTTTCGAAGTAAAAGTTTGAAAATATGTCATATTTGCGTCATCGGCGGCTGAGTTGAAAATTATGGTTACATTAATGAACTGGGAAGAATGAAAGGGGAATGGAATGAAAGAAAGGGGAATAAAAGTGAACGCAAGTAAGACGAAAGTGATGGTTTTTGAAAGAGAAGAAAGCAAAACGGTTTGTGAAATAAGAATAGAAGGAGAGTTAATTGAGCAAGTGGATGACTTTGTGTATATGTGATGTGTATTTAGCAGGGATGGTAGATATGATAAGGATATAGAACGACGAGTAAATGCAGGGAATAGAGTGAATGGGGTACTACACTCTATTATGAAAAATCAGAATGTGTCAAAAAAGGCACGTATGGTAATTCATAGTGCTGTGTTAGTCCCTACTTTATTGTATATGAAAGTAGAATAAATACTGTAGAAATGCGGTCTTTAAGGAGTATACTAGGGTTGAATCTGAATGGCTGGGTGAGAAATTGCATGATAAGAGATAAATGTGGTATGCAAGATGATGTTGTGACCAGGATTAAGAAAGGAATGCTTCGGTGGTTTGGTCATGTAGAAAGAATGAGTCAGGAAATAGTGAAAAAGCAAATTTATATGGCAGATGTGAACGGCAGAGTCGGGAAGGGATGCCCTAGAAAAAAGTTTATCGACCAAATTGGCGATATTTTGAAAATGGGCCATTTTAGAAGTACCCTTAATCGACGAGCATGTTTGCGTAGATATATGGATGTAAAGGAGGCGAAAGAGGCATGTCAGGATCGTGCCAAATGGAAGTCCGTAGTCTCTGACTACCCCTCTGGGTGACAGGCGTGAGTGTTTATGTTAACAGTTTGAAACAAAATATAAGAATCTACTTTGAGAGGATGTCAACGCAGACTGCAGCTGTGAACTTTCTCACGAGAATTTTTGACAAGAGAGGAATATTAATTTTGTTTTTAATTGCAAATTCGTTAAATTTTTTACTTTTATAATTGTCGTAATGCATAAAGTGTCCTTTCATACGGTAATGATGATGCTTAAAATACTACGGATTACTCAATTTTGGGATTGTACGAGTACGTCTAGAGCACTACATCAATAATAAACATCTAATAATAAACTCTTATTGGAGAGCAGCAGCTTTTTCTTCATGCTCCTGTTGTAGCTCCTCAAGCCGTTGGAGTACTTTTTGTCGACGTCTTTCTAAAGGTGTTTTGGACCAACACGTTTCAGCAGCAGCATCCTGTAATAAAAATAAGAAAAAAGGATCCCAATTTTTTTGTGTAAAATATGTATGTTTTAAGCGTCATTTAAAAATTACAGCTGTGTCGTTAGTTCATTACAGCCTATCAAAGGTCCACTTCTAAAATAGGTATCCCCATAGTTAGCCCAATAGGAGGGATATTGCAATATTTGCCATACTTAGCAGGCGGTGAACAACCAATATTTCGTTAGTTTTCAGCTGTTATCAGAAAGATGCTGCTGCCAATCTCCTGTTTCAGTTTATCTCTGATGCCCTTTAGTCGTATATATATATATATATATATATATATATATATATATATATTATATATTATATATATATAATATAATTACCGCCACTACACAGACAACCTCTGTGTTATCATTATCGTGTATCGGCGTCTTAGTAGCGTGCTAGTATTATACGTTGGTGATATGTTTTAGTTAACAACAATACAAACTTTGTTACCAAAATCCATAGGGATCATGTAGGTGTGTTGTGAGGGGACGCCACCCGTATGATAGTTGCATTGATGCTTACTGCTACTTGCGCTACTTGCTGTATTGCGTCTTGTGATGGATCTGCGGGTGTGCTGTGCCTGATTCGACGCATTCTGGTATGGTTCTGTTCGATGGATGTATGCGGTTAGTTCCTGTATATTTTTGATGTTTCTGTGGTGTTAAGGAGTTCTTCCGTTTTTTTGCATCCTGGCCTCCTGTTCTTGCCAGGACTCCTATCCTATTTCTGTTGACTAACAGCAGTGCTCGCGGTGCTGTGTTCGGCTTTTAAGGAAAGCCAGTATATTAACAGCCTGTGAGGTATTCCATCTTAATCCTCTGAAGTAATAACGCATAATATGTAGCTTCCTCTATTTGATTTGGTTGCTGATGTCCATAGGTGCAGTAATCTCTTACCATATAGTGGAAAATATTGTTACGAGCTTAGGGTTTGTGACAATAAAGACTGCCGATTGAATTACCAAAATTTTTCATTATTCTTTTTTATTCTTTAAAAAAAAAGAATATTACCAATGCTATTAACATTACTAATATTCCCCTTAACCACTTTGGTAAGCTTAAATAGCTTGTATTACGAGTGGTTCACGCCAGTAGTCGAATGGCGGATTCGAACCCACAACCTTTTTTGAGTTCGCGGTCTGCGCCCTGCCATTGTGCTACTGTCGCTATAATAAAATAAAATTGACACTTTAATTACCGAACACCAATTAAAACTTAAAACATACATAACATAAACATAAACACTCACGCATGTTACCCAGAGGGATAGGCAGAGACTATAGACTTCCATTTGGCACGATCCTGACACACCTCTCTCGCCTCCTTTACATCCATATACCTATGCGTACATGCTCGTCGGTTAAGGGTACTTCTAATTTAGCCCGTTTTCAATAAATCGCCAATTTGGTCGATAAATTTTCACCTAGGACGTTCCTTTCCGACTCTGCCATTCACTGCTGCAACATAAATTTTCTTTGTCACTCTTTCCTCATTAATTTTTTCCACATGACCAAACCACCGAAGCATTCCTTTCTATATAATTCCCATATCCCATGAACATATATATTTATATATATAAGTATATATACATATATATATATACATATATATACTTAACAAATACAACGTAAGTAAGGGTCCTAACTTAGTCGATCACGCCAAAATATTACAAATGGCTGAATATTATACCTTTTGAAAGATCATTTAGAAAGTTCAAAACATATTTTATTTATTCTGGTCACAAATATATAATGTTATGGAAAAGGGTTAAATTAATTATATATAATATATTTACTATCATATATATTTATATATATAGAGAGGGGGGGGGGTGTTACAATAGGGAGGATGCTATAGCTGCCAATCTTGGCAGGTAGTTTAACGACCGCGGTTTTTTCCTGTTTCTTTTCCCTCACTGATGGGATTAGTGAATTCTTTTACATCGTCATTATATGGCAAGAAATAACAATATAGTTCCTTTAACGTAAAGGAAAGTTCAAGTAACTTAAACAGACATTTAATTGCATGATGCCTTTACACACGTTCTTTACTATCAGTATTCGACGATGTTCTTACTACTAAGAGATGCCAGTAGCTGAAAGTTCGTGCTCTCACGGCTCAAGAAATTTCCGTTTAGCTTAGTTTACGAGATCCAGTGTATGCAAAACATGTAACTATAAGTGTTCTACTGCTGCTACCAAAACGAAGGAGTATCCTATGGGCTGCTCCAGTCGAAAGTAATTTACTTTAAATGTCCTCAAAATATGTTATATATGTATATATTTCTCACAGACGGAAATTTTTACATGTTTGCAATGATTTCTTTATCATACAGCAGGTGATATGTAGGCGCCTAATAAACTATTTAAGTAGTATTGACAGCGGTGGAACTATATAAAATTTATGGCGATCACCAAGTCCTTAAACTTCATAAAACATTCTTCTTCTTCTTAATAGAATATTTTAATAAACTGCTGTACAAAAACTAGTTCAAGTAAATATGAACCAACTAGCATGTACTGCTTGCCGATTTCCAAGGTTAGCATCTAGAGTAACCCAAAGATCCACTACATTTACTTTCCCACATAATCATTCTTTTTGACTTTAGTCTACTAGATACAGCTATCAATACTCCTCCATCATCTTTATTAGAATGAAAACCGGTAGTTTCTCTGTCCCTTCTGTACACTACAATATTATCAAATAGCTCATTATTTATAATCGTGTGATTCAACTATGTTTCAGTCAATATGATGATATCATAATCGAAACAGCACAATTTACGGTAAAAATTTAAAGTTTTTGTTCGCAAACCACGTACATTATGGTAGTAAATACTTAACTGTACATACAACAACATACATTATTATCAGATCTATATATAACTAAGAAGTTTATACTAATTTCTCCAGGAGGCTCAAGTTTTTGATGAGGTGATAGTTAGAATTGTCATCTTTCTCATGTAGATTCGTCCATTCCTCACCCAAACGTATTTAAAGTTTATTTCTTTCGCTTTTATGCTGGCGGCTGCATGCAAGGCTTTGTTGGCTGGAGAAAAATTCTCCGTTATATAAATAGAAATCCTACTTCCGGCGAAACCGAAATGAGTCGAATTAAGTTTGTTGGATACATCCATTTTATTAAATTTAATCGCTGAAGCCAAGAACTGATCGCGTATGAAAGGTGTTGCAAACTGAACAATAATTGAACGTGGTCAGGGACTGCTCCGATTTATTTTTGCAATGCGTGTACAGTTAACAATTTTATCTTCGTTTATGTTACAGTTAATTACCTTAAATTTATCCTTAAAAATATTTAAAACATTTTCCGATTTCCTTTCTGGAACACATTGGATTTCTGAATTTGATGATCGTGCACTTTGATCCAGTTGGTTGACGCGTATCGTTAGTTCTTGAACAACAGATTTTATTTTGCAATTTTCATCCTGTAGCTCTTTATAACTTTTTTTCATAGCTAAACTTTCCATTTTACACTCTTCAAATTCAGCGTTCATAAACTCCATAGGTTCCTTTATTTTTGATAATTCTTCACTTACATCCTTTAGCTGCTTATTCAATGTGTCCAATACACTTTTACTTATTTTATTATAAAGGCTCTCCATTTCTTTATGTATCAAAGTCTGCACTATTTCTTTTACTTCATCTCTAGTCACTGGGGTATCGCTGCTTTTGCATGGGGGGGGAATATGCTTGTTTTTTGCTTCCTCTGACAGTAATGTTCCTTACTGGCGTATTATCATCCTTCCCTGATTTCGGAGCTTTACTTGTACATAATGGACATTTCCAACCATATAATGACTCTGTCATGTCCTGATTTTCAGATAAGACAAGACAAGATTTGTGATAAACTTTTTTACAATTAGTACAACGCAGGAATGCATCATGAGTAGATCCTCCATCACAACAACCCCATGACAAATTGACACTTGAAAGCGGAGTGTTCGGCATCACGAATTATAAAGTATATAACTATAATAAAAAAATTGAATGTCTGCCCACACAGAAATGAAATAGAGTTCTTATAAAATGGAAACAAAATTTTAGATAAAAAACATATATAACAAAGGATTTAAAAAAAATATTAAAAAGAAGTTGCAGTTTCAATCTTGCACCACTAAGATAACGTTTGATAGTGTGAAACCAATCCGCCACTTAGTTGCGTTGAAAAGTCGTTTAATTTTACACCAGTATGTGATGTTCACGATATTAATATATGAGTCGACGGGTATATGATAGATTTGTACATTTATCAGTCACAAATACCGTTACAACACTTATTAAACACATTACTTATCACTGTAAAAAAAGTAAAGTAAAGTAACAGCCTATATACGTCCCAATGCTGGGCACAGGCCTCCGCTCATTTCTGAGAGGGTTTTGGGGCAAGGAAATATCCACCGCGCTGCCCCAGTGCGTGTTGGCGAACTTCACATGTCTTCGAAATATTTTTTTTTCTTATTTCTCAGACATGCAGGTTTCCTCACGATATTTTCTTTCACTGCCGAGCACGTGGTAAATCAATACTTAAAATTGCAATTAACAATTTCATTGGTGCCATCGGGATTATCACTGTATTTAGACTATATTTTATTTTACAAATACGTCCATAATTAGCAGAGAGGTTTATAGGCTCTTTAAACTACAACGCATATTAAAAATACACCATTAACCAATTTCTATCAATTTTAAGAAGGGAACGAAAGAGCTTGTCCACGTGCGCGTACGACGATATACAATTAATCTTCATAGAGACCTTCTATAGTATTGCTCTTGTGTCATAGACCTTACTTTCATAAGTCATTCATATATAGGACTCGAACACACGACCCTACTATTGTAATCCAAATTCATCATAGGGACCTTCTATATTATTGCTTTTGTATCATAGACCAAACTTTCATAAGTCATTAATATATAGGACTTGAACCCACGACCCTACTATTGTAATGCAAATTCATCCTTCTATAGTATTGCCTTTGTATAATAGAGTTTACTATCATAAGTTCCTAATATCGGACTAGTCATTGTGCTACAGTACTTCAAGCAGTCGGGCACCCGACCACCCCATATATATGTACAACTGCAGATATGTATCTCCGGCAGCTCCTCCAAGACAAGACATTTATACATGAACACCTTCCACAACTTAGGAAAATTTTCTTTTATACATGAACTCCTTCCAACACTCAGACAATTTTTAACAAATTTTCTAATTATCTTATAAATGTTATTTATCTTTATTTTTATAATATTTTCGACTTGTATCTCTATTATTTTTCATATTTTAAATATTTTTAAAAGTTTTTAAATAAATTTATTTATTCTGAAAGACAATATTTTGCCTTAAATTTACTATAAGATTTGGTGAACACCATGGTCTAGATGAAGGTTCAATAACACCATTGTTGATGCTCGTGTGTGAGAATGTTAGTAATGGAGCGGGTTATGCTGGCGGGATGCTAACTGGAGAGCATGCAGTAGCTGTTAGATGAGCAATAAATAACACTTCTTCAGAGTTTCTTCTTATTTATTTTCTTGATGCTTTATTCTTACATTGCTGGATTTGGAATGTTTTACCACAAAAAACGCCTCTTTTTTTATAGGCAATTCGACCAATCAAAATAGTTATATTTTGCACACGGCACTAACGAATTTACACATGGCACTAATGATTTCTGTCGACCAATCAGATCTCAGAGCAACCTTTTCTAAGGGAAACTTACAAATTTCTTTTATTTTATTGGTAAAACATCCCTTACAATGTTTTTATACATTTCTGGTAATAGAAATAGCTTATCTTTATTATTTCAAACATTAATCATTCATAAAACCCTTAATTTACACCTTTAATAAATAAAAATAGTGGAGTGGTTTTCCTAGGGTATCGCTCCGTAGCAGCTAAGCTTTTTTCCGCATAACATACATGTGGCGCCGCCAGGCGGCAGGAATGCACAATCCTTATCGTGATCACAATATTATGCTTAATCTTAAGAAACTATTGCAAAATAAATTTGAACTTCTTATTGAACTAAATCTATTTTTATAATATAAAACGAGATTATACAATTGGTTAATTGACGTATTGTCGTAGTTTTAAATTACATTAAAAGAAAAAGAATTAAATAAGTAATTAAATTCACACTTAGATGCTAATGTTTCTAATGCAGTTCTTTAGATTATAATAAGAGTAAGTTCCAATAAGTAACTAGATTCATATTTCGTTTCTAATAATAATAATAATAATTTATTGTTTCTCACATAACTTTTACAAACAAATCATATTGAAGCTCTGTAGCCCGTGGTAGTTGAAAACTGCGTTACAGGCTACACATATTATTAAACTCAAATAAGTAATTAAACTTACATTTCGTTACTGACTTTTGCTACTAACTTTTGTTACGTAATTTTAGATTGCAAATAAGAATTTTTGTTTTTTTTTAAATTGAAATTTAAATAATTAAATTCACTTGTTGCCACTAACATTCTCCCCTACGGTGCGTAGCACTTCATCTTCCGGAGGCGACGATTCCGCTGGTACCAGCACGATGACACGTCGAGTTGGGCGGTGAAGTATTCCTCCTGATGTCCGCACGTCCAGCACTCTGGTTCTTCAGTCTGGTCCGGGATAGGTCTTGATAACTTCTCCGCGAGGCCATGAGTTTCGTGGTAACGTAGCGTCCACTATCAGCACAATGTTTCCTTCTCCTGGGTCTTTGGTTTCTCTCTTTTCGAGTTTTCTTGGCATCAGGAGAGGTAAATATTCTTTGATCCATGTTTTCCAGAAATGGTCTGCGAGTCTCTGAGTGGTCCTCCAATTTGCCTTTCCGATCAGCTCCGTGTCACTGAATTCTCCCGGCGCCATCGCTCCGCATGATCTTCCCAGCAGAAAGTGGTTCGGTGTTAGGCTCTCTTCGTCTCCTGGGTCCATGCTAATCGGGGTGAGGGGTCTCGAATTGACGATGTGTTCAACCTCGGTCATTAGTGTATGAAGTACTTCTTCGGGCGGGCTTCTCTCGTTGAGTCTGCTAGCGCCGTCTTAACTGTTCGTATGAGTCTCTCCCAGGCGCTTCCCATATTCGGAGCTCCCGGGGGAATAAACTTCCACTTGATGCCTTTTTCTTGTGCGGCCTCTTCTAGTTCCCTTTTGGCCCCGAAGAAGTTGGTTCCGTTGTTGCTGAATGTAGTTTTCGGGGTCGTTCTTCTAGCTGCCATTCGTCGAAGAGCCATGATCATTGAGCTAGTGCTGAGAGAAGGTACTAGCTCTAGATGTACTGCTCTAGTAGTGACAGGTGAATAAGGCTCCCCAGCGCTTCTCAGTTCTTCTTCCGATGGTGAAACCAAGGATGGTTGGACGATAATACATCGGCGTATTTGATTAACAACTTCTTCTCCTTGACCTTTCATTCAACGTTGCGACAGCCCTCTAAAAGTGTGATCACTCTTGTATGTGCATCCTTGCCGTGTATCCCACTCGATAGACATTGGCATCGACGCAACCAATCCACTTCCTCACAAGTACCGACCAGTGTGACTTTTTCTATAGTCTGTTTCTGCTCACAAATGTTCAGCACACGTACTCCTGAGATGTCAGTGGTTCTGACCAAGGTTCGACCTACTTTCGATGGAAGGTCTTTATTTACCCTTTCCACGGGTACACAAAGGTGAGCTTGCCCAGGGTTCCGAGGAAGTCTAACCGGCACAATCGTTTCCGATCTCGGCGGAAGAACAATCTTCTTAAGGCTGTACACGTTTTCTGGTAACGCCCCTTCCACGAAAAGTTACTCCTGTCCGTATTTCAAAACACCTTGCTTAACATCGATCTCACAACAATTATTCCTCATAAAGTCTAGGCCCAGGATGCAGTCGTCCATTATATCAGCCACGATGAAATTATGCAAGTAGATCATGTTGCCTAGCTTTAACTCCATCTCCTTCTCTCCACGGACGGGTATACGCTGACCGGTGGCTGTAACCAAATTAATACGTTCTCGGTTGTATGCGGAGTCCCCAAGGAACTGACTTATAAGTTGGGAACTAACAACCGTACAAGAGGCTCCAGTGTCTATGGTCAGTTCACACGGCATTCCGTTGACCTCGCCTTGATGATTAGACTGTTCCCATTGTGTGTTCGTGAGATCGAGATACTTGGGGCTCTTTTAACATCAGCCAGCACACGCCAGTTTCCCTGTTGCTGCTGGGCGGTGCTGTTAGCCACACTAACCTCTCGAGATCGATCCCCTTTCCTTTCTACAGTTTGCTTAGGGCAGCTGGATCGAAGATGGCCCCTTTCCCCACAGCCATAGCACCTAGGGCTGTATCCTTTATTGCGTTCGTGAACTTTAGCTGCCGCAACTTCCTTAATACGATGGGCGCGAAGATCCTGCCGCACGCCTTCCACCTCCAGTGCATGGGCCAAGGCGTCCTTAAGCTTCTCGTGGTGCCCGAGCCTCACAGCAACTCTGACTTCAAGGTCGCGGGGTGAATAATGAGCATTGCTTGTTGTTCTGTCAATATTAAAGACGGAAGTTTAAAACTTTCATGTCCAAGCTTTGTTAATGTATCAATTATAAATTTTCGTTGCTTTTCCAATTCTTCTCCCCGT